CAGAGCATTTAGTTACTTTTTCACTCGCTTGACTGTGCAACATTGCCATCACTTTGAGCATATGGCACTTTTAAAGTAATGAAGCATCACCTATAGGTGCATTATTCACTCATGAAGAAAAAAAGTAACAAATATGAAGCAAATAATCCAGAAAAATCAGACTGCATTTGAATTTGAAATTCATTGTGATGTGTGTATAGGATTTCCACCTATTTCCATAAAATTAATTTATATGATAATTACCCACATAGTAATGAGTATGGGTCTAATCATGTCATCAAACCAAATGAAGGGAACATGATGAAAAAACAACGTTTTAATGATTAAGGTCAATAAAATCGATTTGCTAGACAAAAGGAACATAGATATGTCCAGTGTTGGGGTAACGCATTACAAGTAACGCGAGTTACGTAATCAGATTACTTTTTTCAAGTAACTAGTAAAGTAACGCATTACTTTTTAATTTACAAGAGAATATCTGAGTTACTTTTTCAAATAAGTAACTGCAAGTTACTTTTTTTTCAATGTATTGATTGACAGCTCTCCTGTCCCCATGTTGAGAGAAATCAGATGTTACTGTAGTTCTAAATAAATATTAATATGCATGAATTCATCTCACTCACACACAAAAAAACACATATTCAGTATTCCTCAAAATGAATAAAAATAGTGCAACTCAGAATATGACGCAAACCTGCAATAATTAAATGTTAAACAACACAAATATCCTTTATGTATTTAATCCCATTCTATTAACCAATTTAATAATTGTCAATTGACAATTCAGACAAAAGAGCTTGTCACAAATTACTCTAGACAAACATTTGTCTTTTTTTATTTCTGAAGTGTGCGGACTTAAATTTACTTTCCCTTCAGCCTGAGGCTTATTCATTTCACTTTTGCTGTGAAAAGGCTTTTATATTTGCCAAAAAATATAACTTTTTTATTTGAAAACAAACAAGCAAGCCCAGTCCAGATTTTAAAAGTAACGCAAAAGTAACGTAACGCATTACTTTCCATTAAAAGTAACAAAGTAACGTAATTAGTTACTTTTTTTATGGAGTAACGCAATATTGTAATGCATTACTTTTAAAAGTAACTTTCCCCAACACTGGATATGTCGATAAACGCAACCTCTTCTGTAGCTTTAATTCACAATCTCATTTCAAGCGCGCCCCCTGGTGACCGATATCCGCGCGTGCACAAGCGCGGGCACAAACGGTCTCGCGCAGTCCCGTTTCCGTCCAATCAAGTCGCAGCGCGAGCGCGAGTCAGGTTTGTATTTGTGGCTCCGGTCGAATGATCCGCTTCAGCGGTAATTCTCGTGTTTAACGGATAGAAAAGGCCGATACCGACAGGTTTTTACGGGTTTTACCAGGCCGAAGCAGCCGTTAAATGCAGGAAATCTTAAAATAATGAATGTTTGAGGATGGGTAAGGGATAATTTGAGTGTAGAGATGGAGGCTACATGCAGGCGAGGCCCCGAAGCCTCATTTAACCGCATTTAATCAACAACACGTTTAATTAAAAAGAAGGCAGTTCATTTCTGGTTAAAGTATCCAAATTGTTCATAAATAAGCTGTTTTCTTATGTTAAATGCGTGTAATTTGTAAGCGCGAGCTGTTACGATGCTAACCTGCTAGCGGACTATAAAACAAAGGCTGCCAGAAAGACATACAAATCATTATATGACCAATTATTAACTCTATTAATAACATATACATGTTTTTGCGTGTTTATTTTATTATTTGAGTTATATTTTGTAAATATATGTTTGACGAATTACTTTCTGTTCCTCTTTCGTAAGTGTACGTTTTGTTTCTCGTTGGATAAAAGCGTCTGCTAAATGTGTAAATGTTTTATACATATTATATATATGGTTATTATTTAATATGGGGTTTCAGTATTATTTTTAATACTTTTTAGAGAGTTTTTTGTTGTTGTCTTGGATCATGTGTGTATAAATTTTTCTAATCATAAAGCTGTAATTGGAATACATATCTGAACCCTCATTGTTTATGTTTGCAGATGGACGGAGACAGCAGCACCACAGATACCACTCAGTTAGGAATAACTGGAGAGTATATGACCGGAGGGACATATGTCTTACAGACCCAGGATGGTATGGACATGATGTCACCATAAATAATTAATCTTTGTTAGAGATCATGAAGAACATGATTATTATGAGGTAAGTTTGATTGTCCATTGTCATGTTTTTTCTCTTGTGCAGATGATGGGGATGAAAGTTTCAATGACCATGAGGATGGCAACGACAGCAAAGACTATTTTCGAGAACAGGACATCTACCTTCCCATCGCAAATGTCGCCCGCATCATGAAGAATGCCATCCCACAGACTGGAAAGGTAATATTAGGGAATTTTAAAATTGTTTCCATGTATGGAGACCTCGTAATAATAAAAAAGAAAACCGTATTCAAAATATTTTATTAGCTAGAAATTGTTCTTTTTGAGTGCAGTCTATATAAAATCCTAATCTTATGTATAAGTAACCTTGATCGCTTCTGTCATCTCTCTTTTCAATCACAGATAGCAAAGGATGCAAAAGAGTGTGTTCAGGAGTGTGTGAGCGAGTTCATCAGCTTCATCACATCTGAGGCCAGTGAGAGATGCCATCAAGAGAAGCGCAAGACCATAAACGGAGAGGACATCCTGTTTGCTATGTCCACTCTGGGTTTTGACATGTACGTGGAGCCGCTTAAACTCTACCTGCAGAAGTTCAGAGAGGTATTGCTCACTCACTCACATGTGATATTCTGCATGTGTCATCATGAATATCATTTTTAGAGCACAGATTTTGGTCAGAAGTGAAGTAACATATTCATGTTTCCAAGGCAATGAAGGGTGAGAAAGGAATCAATCCGGTTGCAGTCAGTGAAGGCCTTGGAGAAGAGCTTACAGATGACAGTTTCAGTAAGTGCAAACTCTTTCATGCATAAAGCTTTTATATTCTTTTTTTTCCCCACTTGTTTCATGCATGCCTATTTTCCTTCAGAGTTGACATAAGAGACTTATCTAAACTCTTTAGCAAGTGCCTTTTTCAGAAAATGTTATGCAGTTGAAACATATGGCACTATTCTCTTGCTTATTTACAGCTATTAGTGTTTTAAAAGGTTTCCATAGTGAATTGATTTTGTGTTTTACTTTAACTCACAGCCGGTCAGTTGCCTGCAGGACTCATCAGTGCAGACGGCCAGCAACAGAACGTGATGGTATACACCACTTCGTACCAGCAGGTTAGTTTGTAAACCAACCCATGTTAACCTACAGATATATGACTGAAAATGCTTGATGTTTGAATAAAAAAAATCTGTTTTCTGTAGTAAATTTGAGTTATGCTCAGTGTTTAAACAGTCTCTCTTTTTCTGCTCCTTTAGATCCCTGGTGTGCAACAGATACAATTCTCATGACTGAAGACCGGCGTGACTATATCTAGTAGCCTGTCCAGTGTCCGGACACTTATCTCTTGCCTTGCAAAGTTTTCAGGTCAGTGCTGGAAGACCAAGAGATGCCTGGTTACCAGAGAATGAACAAAAGTGCCTGTTGCCTGATTTGATCTAAAGTGATGTCATGTAATTCATTCAGTATTATATTTAGGCCCGTTTGTTTTGATTGGTCTGCTTGGTACAGGCTGCACCAAATTATGACTTTTTTGGGGAGTTTCTTGTATTTAATAATTTTTAAAGTTTGGGATGGGGCAGTGGGAAGACAGAAAGGCCATATTGACAATTTACATTCCCAGAATTAAGGAAATTCTCATTTGATATGACATTTGATTTTAATTAACCTATTAAACTAACATTATGCTGATTCTTTGAATAAAAAAGTGATCTGTCTTTGTTTGAATGTTGTTTAAAGTATGTCTTAAAAAAGAAACTGATAAAAATGGTCAAGATAAACATTTATTTGAACAAATGTATACCTTGCCATAACTGGTTTCCAACTGATTTTTATTGCAATAATTTTTCGTTTAGTAAAATTTAGTCTACACAAGAAGACCATGATGGGAGTGAATGCCAAAAATGCTCTATATTTGACCAAAATGTTGTGGGAAAAATTAAAAAAAAAAAAAAAAGAAAACCCAAAGTGGTCACAAAGAAATTCAAAGATTATTTTGTGATCAAGAAAGGGTTGTGGTGCATCACATCCCGACGGATCAATGTTTTTAAGAGCTCTGTTTGAAATGGTACAATCTGTGTCATTAATACTCTTTGTAGTTCTCTAGGTTAGTGGCATGCTAATGGAACATAATACAGATATAATCTCTTATGTACAACTGCATAAGCAATTCTACAAATAGGATATTAAAAATCCCCCAGTAGACAGATTATAGTAATTGTGCAGGGTTAATGTTAAAGTAGATGTATTATGCTTAATTAATGCACTGAATATTTAACCCAAATTGCAGAATTTCAGCTTTCATAGCACAATGTAGAATTAATGTTTTTGTAATGGCAACAAAACTAAAAAAAATTTCCTGTTAAAAGTAAGAACTGGATGGCTTTTCGGAAAAAAAAAACAGCTCAATCAAATTATGGTGCATCACATCCCGACGGATCAATGTTTTTAAGAGCTCTGTTTGAAATGGTACAATCTGTGTCATTAATACTCTGTAGTTCTCTAGGTTAGTGGCATGCTAATGGAACATAATACAGATATAATCTCTTATGTACAACTGCATAAGCAATTCTACAAATGGGATATTAAAAATCCCCCAGTAGACAGATTATAGTAATTGTGCAGGGTTAATGTTAAAGTAGATGTATTATGCTTAATTAATGCACTGAATATTTAACCCAAATTGCAGAATTTCAGCTTTCATAGCACAATGTAGAATTAATGTTTTTGTAATGGCAACAAAACTAAAAAAAATTTCCTGTTAAAAGTAAGAACTGGATGGCTTTTCGGAAAAAAAAACAGCTCAATCAAATTATTAAAAAAAAATAAAAAAACGGAAATGAAGGGAGCTCTGGTGGAGCTGTTTGTTCAAACTACTGGCAATTATGCAGTTCCTAAAAATACAGGAGCCTATTTTAAGAAACGTACATGCAGTTTAAGATATGGGGAAGTAGCTCATTTTCCACTAAGGCATGAATGAATTTTGCTTACAAAAACCATAGTAGGGATTTGGAGATATTAAAAAAAAAAAAAGTGGCTATAACAGTCCATAATAAAAATAAATTTATGAACTCAATATAAAAAGTGTTAAAGTAAAATATACATTTTTTACAGTGATGATGAACAATTTGACTGATACTGATAAACCTAAAGCTTACTGTATAAACCATACCATGACATTAAAAGGCAATCAAGATTTAGAAAAACACAGTGGACTGGGACAATCCTATACACAGAGGAGTTAAATTAAAATGGCAAAAGGCTTTGTGGAATAATAGAGAGTGAAATGCAGTCCTGAAGTATTAGAGCTTTGGCAGTCAGTGCAGCAGCTGGCAGACCACCAGGGGTGAGAGTTCATCTGCAGGTGGTGTCAGGCTCTGCTGCTGGAGGACTGGAGTCTGCCTGCGTCACTGACGATTTCAGCTTGCTCGCATCTGTAGGACGACACGTTCAGCTGTTAGGACTGGACTGTATGTTGCACTTGAGATTATATTGTAGTGTACACTACTGTTCAGACGTTTGGGAAATTAAAGGAATTAACAAAAGTTATTTTATTTGGCATGAAATTGATCAAAAGTGACAGTAAAGACATTTATAATGTTACAAAAGATTTCTATTTTTAAATATACTGTTCTTTTGAACTTTCTATTCAACAAATAAACCTGAAAAAAAGTATAGATTCCACAAAAATATTAATGGGCACAACTGTTTTCAACATTGATGATAAGAACTTAATCTTGAGCAGCAAATCGGCATATTAGAATGGTTTCTGAAGGATCATGTGACACTGAAGACTGGAGTAATGATGCTGAAAATTCAGCTTTGCCATCACAAGAATAAATTACATTTTAAAATATATTAAACCAGCTATTTAAAAGTATAATAATATTTCACAATATTGTTTTTACTGTATTTTTGGTCAAATACTTGGCCAGTAAACATCAACAGCATGAACAATGCCATAATAAAGGTAAGTTGGCTCTTAAATATTTCTTTAATTAATTGAAATGATGATTGGTTTGTGTAGAGTTTAAATGCCATAATTGCTGTTTTTCTACAAGCAACTCTTAAAGTCCCATGAAACTGAATTCACTTTGCATATATGTTTCATGGCTTTGACATAAAAACCAAAGGCTATTAGAATACGAGACCCTCCCCAACTTCCAGTTCAATAGGACATACATCAACACAAGGAAAAATGAGGATTTGATGAGGATACACTCATGAGTCAAAGCTTTAGAAGTTCTTCCACACCTTGCAGCCAGCGGATCTGAGTGGCCGGACCGTAGCCCTGCTCATTCTTGGCAGCGATTCGGAAGACGACGGCAGGCCGTGCCGAGCAGTCGATGTGTGCGTTGCTCAGCTGGCTTTCGCTCACTGTGCATGAGGTCTTGGTACCGCAGTAGATTCGGATGAAGGCCTGCTCGCCAGGTCGCTCCACGCTGTTCCCTCGACTTTTCCTCACTGCCAAGTACATGGAATACTCCGTGACCTTCCCGGACGGAGAGGTGGGAGGCTCCCAGGTGATATGCACTGAATCTTTATCCTGAAATCATGACATAGCATCTAAACGTGTTTGTTTGCAAAATGTTTGTCATCACTGAGAAGAATGATTGTACCTTGGTGATTTTTACAGCAGATGGGGCTCCAGGAAATCCAGGCTGGCAGGTTTTAAACTCGCTGATGGGACTGAAGTCACCCAGGCCACGGCTGTTCAGGCCGGCCACCCTGAATTTATATGTGACTCCTGAGGCCAACTCCTGCTTCTCATGATCCTTAAAACAATGAGGACCCGGCAACTTCCACTGTCGGACAGAAGCAGTGACGTAAAACACACTGACACAACTGGAAGCCGTTACAATTAGTTGTGGTAGTACCAAACCAGAACCACAGACAAACCTCACTGTCAGATGAGTTTTGACAAGACATGGTCGATGCCATGTCACCATCCTCAGAAGGTAGGAAGTAGTGTGTAACCTCACAATACAGTGTTTTAAACACACCTACATCAAACCACACAGAGTCCTTGGACTGTAAGGGCACAGGGTGTAAATGTGTCAGTGTGTTTTAGGTGCTTTATACTTGTATACGCTTTAGTACAGAAACACACTGTAACACCCTACCTTTTGGAATGGTATTGGAGAGATGTCCCGTTCTGTGAATGTGAACGTAAACAGTAAGAGTGAAAAACCACAGTAAAATCTGGCCAAAACAGGTCCATTGTCCACAGTTAGTGTGTGCTTATACCTTTCTGGCATGTAATATTCAGCTTACCAGCCTTATTCACATCTGATGGCATCGCGGAAACACCTTCTTGATCTTTGATTATGCACATTAAAAATACATCTTCAGGTATAAGACTAACTGTATGAGACTAAACCATTGTCTAACATAGAAAGTTCAAAAGTGAGAATGCAAGAGTGGAAATAAACATGTATATTAAACTAGACATCAGAAGCAGTGTTTGCTTTTCTACCATTGTTACCTTTTGGTGGGACATCTGCCCTGTCCTCACCTGGTTCCTTTGGCCTCAAAATGCTTTCCTGAAACGAGAAAGGCCCTGTGAGATTAATAAAAAAAATATAAAAAAATGAATTTATAAATTCCACTAAAATGCAGAAATCTGACCAGCAATGAAGATTTTCTCTCTCCTCTAACTTTGACATCTGCACTTGCCTGGATGTCTAAACAGAAAATTAATATAAATAAAATAACATTTATTTAAATTATAAATAACATACACAGGGTTCTTACTCCTATTCCCAGATTAAATTCAAGCACTATATATATATATATATATATATATATATATACAGGTATATACACTGGGTACGGAAAGTATTCAGACCCCCTTAAATGTCATGCCATGTCATTGTGTCTACAGTAAGCAAACCATACCAAGATAAAACTTTTTTTATTAAAGCAATTTCTGAGATTATCTAGCTGCAGGAATGATGTAATATTCTTGATCATACCAAGGTTTAGCATGGAAAGAGAGTTGGTGCAGATCCACTTGACTCCATCTGCGGCAAGCGTGTCCTCTGCCTCTCCAACGGGAACCCAGCCTCCAAACACATATAACCTACAACAAGAAGATAAAGAAGATGAGAAATTGTGTAAAAAATGAGGTAAAATAATATACAGAAGAACCATACCTGAACATCTTGACTTTATTGAAAAGTGAAATTGAGAGAGGAAATGGACAATGGAGCTGTTCCGTCATGACGTCAAGAGACTAATTCACCCATAATGGATTTCAAATGGGTTTTCAGAATAGCAGTTTTGTTAACATTACATGAAGTACCTCAGTCATTTCTCAAATGGAAATTTTGAAACCATTGTGACATGAAACTGCTAATTGCACTGCCCTGCATCATCGTGAAAAGCGCTATACAAATAAACTTGAATTGAATTTGCTGAATGAAATCCAATACTTGTTTCTGACGAATCTTGAGTTGCTGATTTCAAAAATAGTGTCTTTTTTTGCTACAGAATGTCACACTTTCTCACAAAACATAATGTGGTTTTTATAGCATTTTTGCTTTCAACAACCATTTGAAAGGTGAAGAAGTCTTGTATTATCCCTTAATCCGCAGAAGAACTGCCACAAAGACTTGATTCCTATTTCAGGTCAGGTTACAATTATCTGTTCAATTCTCAGCCGATTTTCACATGCATAAATTATTCTACAGACATATTTTATGCCTAATCCTGAGGCGACAGAATCCTAACAGTGACAGAAAATTATAGATTTTAATTTTATTAGGCATAAACTTTATGTAAAGTTATTTGACATTAAATGGAGTATTTGAACATATTTCTTTACTCCTTTGCAGATTGTAAGTTAAACTATATATTTAGAATATTTTTGTTATTTAAACTTGATATTTGACTGCATTGAGTGCATTAAAGCTGATACATATAATATGAAAAATCATTCTTGTTTTGTAAAAAAACTACATGATAGAAAGCTTTTATTGATAATTTTTTAACTCGGCATCATCCAATTTTTTTTTTAGTTGCAAAGCTTTGTTATTTTTACTGTTTTTAGGACCACAAACGGAATAGCTCTCTACAGTAAATCTAATAAAAAAAGAAACAGGCTGTAGCATTACTTGTTTCCAATCACATTGGAGGTGTGCAGGCTCCTCTGTAGTGGCAGTTGACCTCTGGTTGGAGGCAATGACCAAGTCATAGTCTCTGAAATAATTAAGACATCAGCTTAAACCAAATGAGCTACTATAAAATCATACAGCTTTATTATTTTTATCAATATGAACAAGGCCTTACCAATGTCTAGTTGCCACAAATCATTCAGTCTGTGCCCACACATGCCCCCAAATATGTAGAGCTTTGGGGCACTTCCACCCTTAACACAGTACACCACAGAACTATGGGATTCTCTGGCTGACGGGCCTCCACCTTTGGTTTCAGGAATGTTCCAGCCTTTAACGCCAGACTGGACCTGCAGCTCCAGCTCATAGAAGTCATCTAAATATCTGCATAAAAACACAAACGTGCATCATCCATGTGAGTATGTATGTGTTTTTGAATTTGACATGAATATATGCATATGAATATGCACACCTTGGTACATTGCCATTTGGGTCTTCACTGTCATTGGCCATTCCACCAAAAAGATAACACTTATTAGCATGAAGAGTGAAGCTGTGGCCAATTCGTGGACATGGAGCTGATGCGTTCCTTGGTGGACGGGGCTTCAGTTTCTTCCACAGCCATCGACTGGCCTGAAAAAACAGACAGAAATCAGGGCCCTCCTAAAGCTGTGTACTACAATCATAAACTATTAACTGAACTACATTAAGTGCTCACCTGCAGTTCATAGAGGCTGTTGGTATACTGGCCAAATTCAACCATCCCTCCAAACACCAGGATCCGTGTGCCTTCACAAACGAAGCCATGAGCGGCACAACCAGGTGGGATATCCCCTCTCACTGCTGGCAGGAACCACTGCTTGGTCACTGAAATGTGTAGTTTATAACTTTCATTAATGCATTATTGTGTACATCAGCATTACATATATGTATTAAAAATGTTTCATGGAATTTCTGACTATTTTAATGTACATAAGCCAGTCAGCATTAATGAATATGAAAACATTGATAGAGTTTAGTAGCATTTCTGACTATTTTAATGTACATAAGCCAGTCAGCATTAATGCATATGAAAACATTGATAGAGTTTAGTAGTATTTCTGACTATTTTAATGTATATTAACCAATGATTTGTTTCATTAATTCAGTGAATCTGAATTATCTGATCTGAAGTCACGTCTCTTGTGTTTTTATAAACTGCATCCACTCACTGTACTATATAGTATGTAGTATATTTAGTGCCCTACCCGAGTTATAAACATGCAGATTGGTCGCTATTCCCTCGTTTCCACCTCCAAACACAACCACCAGCTCTCGTATGGCCACGACCCGGTGCCCATGCCTCGCCCTCGGAACAGGTCCAGCGTAAGACCGCACACTTTTCCATATGGGACCCTTATTAATCATAATATATTATCGTTTGATTTGGCACAATTGCAATGCAATAAAGGCGGACTACATGCAAACAGTTAAGTAGCTCTTCCCCGTGCTTGAAAGCGTGGATGTGATTTGCTCAACGCTTATCACGTGACCAAAAGGCGGCGCACTTTCGACAAATCAGAGCCGTTTGTGGTTCTTAGGCTCCTCCCCTTTGAACAATACAGTAAATGGAGCCGTAAGAGTAATTCAATTACATTAAAATAATACGACAGATGCATATAACGATAAAAACATCGGTTTTTTTATTGTGTACATGAGGACTGTAGGTTGCAAAAGAATTAAAATGAAAAAGAAATGCTACATTTATAATCTGCTAAAACAGATGTGTTCTACATTTATCATTAAAATTATTTAATATAATATATATTTTAAAATGATAAAATATATGTTTTTTTAAATGTAGTATAGACTTATTTAAAATATTCAAATACAGTAAATGGAGCCGTAAGAGTAATTCAATTACATTAAAATAATACGACAGATGCATATAACGATAAAAACATCGTTTTTTTTATTGTGTACATGAGGACTGTAGGTTGCAAAATAATTAAAATGAAAAAGAAATGCTACATTTATAATAATCTGCTAAAACAGATGTGTTCTACATTTATCATTAAAATTATTTAATATAATATATATTTTAAAATGATAAAATATATGTTTTTTTAAATGTAGTATAGACTTATTTAAAATATTCAATTGTTACATTTTAAATATTTAAATACAATATAGCCTGTAGGTTATAGGATACTTTACAACATAAATATTCTCTTTTAATACAGCAAATGAGTGCTGTTGACATTAAACCAATCATTTAAAAAAGTATTATTTGAAATCAGATCATTATTATGTACTGTATGTGCAAACAGGTAAGGTAGATTTTAGAAGTGCTAATATGATAGCTATGAGTGGTGGTGTCTTTAATAGTTAATTTTAACCAAAGATAGAATATATATCAGTTTGGCTTTAAAGACATCAAAACAGCAGAAGATTCATCTACTGTCCATCAACTGTGTAATATCTTATGTGAAACCTAGAGGTCAGCAAAGGTCTCTATGAGGATTTGGGGGTTTCAGAGGCATGGCAAATGAGGAATGATTTTACAGACATACCATAAACGCTAGACGTTATGGTTCATAATAGATTTAGATAGATTCTCATGAATGAAATCAAAAGACCTTTTTGCCCAAGGAAAATCTCACTGTGACGATAAAAAAAATTCTGTTGAGTTTATGTGCAAGTTAATGTCAGTTCTAAAGTTCTCCTTCATAAATAATTGTAATAATAAGCAGATGTGCACATGCAAAACACATTTGAGGCCTTTTATTAACAGTGTTTTAAACTGAAATGGCATTTGTTTGGTGGTGCAAGACAATTGTTCCATGATGCAATAGTAAATCCATTACTTAAAGATAAACGAGAAATATTAAATACAGGGCATTCAGGGCATTCAGGGCAAACAGCTAGAGGTTGAAATGACATTGTGAGTAAAATATATCGTAATTGAAAAAAGGCTGTGTCTATCTATACATTACATTGAAAAAGAACAATGGGTTAGTGTGGTAGCCAGCTCTTCTCTGAGGTGACGACAGCTTGTGCTTCCTTCACTGATTTTAGAGAGATAAAATCTATTGAAAGATGGATAGAGAACAAGCTGTCAGCTAGTCCTTGCATAACAATAATAATAATAATAAAATCTTTTGAATGAAAAGAGAGAGCTACAGAAGTTTTTGCGAATTACAATAAAGGAACAAAGAGAAAGACAAAAGTAGCTTGTGAACTGTAACATTGTAACATTGTAACATTGTAACAGAATCATTTCAATGGCAGAGTAAAAAATGAACAATTGAATGACAACATTTTGTCTAAGAAGTCTGCTGTTCTAGACTGACCTCTTGTAATGCCACGTTATTACTGTGTTGTGGCTGGATTGTAGCATTTCATGAAAAAAGCAGAGAAATAATGAGGGGAAGCAGAGATGTGGAGATGTGAGGTGAAGAAGATGCAGGCAGCTGGATGGGAAGCCGTTAGGAGGGTCGTATGAGAATTATGGATATGTAGAGTTGGGTTTGTTCTCGTCATCTAGACATTGAGCTCGGCAGGAAAGCTTCCAGTAGGCAAGCTGAATGATGAAAGTTGTTCTATTTTGGACTCTCCCCCATTAACAATAAGCTAAACTTCCTGTCTTAAACAATGTACTATCCTTCCTGGCAACCTAACAAAATAATGTAACATATTGTTTAGGTTCGAGCCAAGCTATAGAACAACAATGCATTCATTCAAACTCATTTAGTGTTGTGTCTATGGAACAATAGTGCGCCATTACAAATGTACTGAACACGTTTTTGTTTACTTTTATACATTTTCTGTGGTATTTAACAGCATGTCAGAGATGCTTAAACTCGAATATTCCTTTAAACCAAGATTCCAATCCTTAAAAAAGGGTGTTTATGAATGGACATTCTAGAATCAATATGAAGAGAGAAAGTTTCATCATTTACTTCACCTGAACTTATCTAACCTTTCTTTGTTAAACAGGAGCATGTGAGGACAAGGTAACAGCTGCGATCCCAATTACACCAGTAAGCTGACAGACCTGCTAAGACCAGAGAAGATTGAAGAGAAGGTGACGCATTAATGAAAGACTTGACATAAAAAGGCCTCCTTCACTCTATAATTAAAGGTGACAGGTACATCACAGCATTGCATAGAGAAATCATTTTTGGCTCCTCAAAGAATCTTTCAGTCAAAGGCTTGTAAAAGAACATAAATATTCTAAAGAACTTTTTTTTCCACTATAAAGAACATTCCATGAATGTTAAAGGTTCTTTGTGGAACGATACCCCGGTTCAGTTTGTTGTGTTTGTATGTCTCTCTATCTGTTTTAGTGGAACCTCCCTCCTGGCTTTCTGTTATATTTTCAATATCTTTTTAAGTCCACATGGCCCTTGCCTTTATTAGATTTGCTGCCTAAAAAACAAAGAATCTCTCTGGGTTGACTCATTGACAAAGCAGGCTTTACCCATCTGCAACATTTAGTTTAAAAGATGAGCCTGATATTACCTGTCAATTGGGTTACAATTGTGTAATAAAACGCTGATTGCTTTCCCAGTGGTGTTCAGGTCCGAGGATGAAACCGGCATTATGTGATATGGTTTGTTCGGATCCTGGTTTAGCCAGAACGTACCGGTTGATAAGACTGGGATTGGCAGATTGGAGCCACTGGGGTTTTCATTTTAAGCAGATAAGGGAAAGTTGTGGGAGATGAAGGGAGTTTAAATGTAACCTGCACTGAGATTGAAACAGATGTAAAGGATCACCCTTCCACATTCATAATGGTGTGTTATGTCAGATTTTCGCACACACCCACCCATATAGTATGTAGTATACATCTATAGCCCCCCCCCCCCCCAAATTTTTGGAACCAAAAAAAATAAAGATAACATAAGCACACTTTTCATTTACATTTAGTCATTTAGCAGATTATTTTATTTAAAGCAATTTACGTATTCTTGATAAAAAAGGCTTTTAATAAGTTTTATATGTTAAAACAGTAGATTAGTGAAACTTTAATGGAAGAAGTTCATAGTAAATGTGATAAACTGCACCTGTTACTCCCACTACACTCTTAAAAATAAAGGCTTATTATTGGCATTTATGGTGCAAGAACAACTCAGAAAAGTGAAGTTAGTTCTGAGAAAAACTCTAGCAATATTTGGTTGCAGACACTTTTTGGTTTGATCTTTTATAGTGAGTTATGCAGTGTATTTAAGTGGCGAAAGAGTTAGTTTGGAATGTGTTCTGGACCTAGATTTAAAACCATATATGCAATTATTTTTGGAGATGCTTGCAATTGCACCTTGTTAGTATTGTGAATATTGCCAGAATTAGGGCGAATATATTATGCTATTTTTTTTATCTTATTATTATGCTTGCCTAATTAAGGCTTGAAATTAAATGGAAGAAAGAGATTAGGGTGCCTTGTATTGTTTTTTTTTCTTTTGACATATATTGCCTATAGTGTTCAGTATAGGACTAAAAAAGTTAGATTACAAGTTACTCAGAATGTGCGAAATAAATGCTTACAGGCTCACGAACAGAAATCTCTTTCCAACCCTCTGAAAGTCTGAATATAGTTTAAACTTAATATCGTGTTTGCTTGTATAACCATGTGTCAACTTACCATCCCAGGAGAAGTTTTCATCCCAGACTGACCACATTTGCACGATGAAGAACGGAGCCCAGCACACAATGTACGCCAAAACAATCACGAATGTCATCTTTACAGTTCTCAGTTTGGCTCTTGAGATGATGGTGACACTACTGACAGATGCCTTTCCAATCATCCCGTTCTTAGAGCTGTGCGGGGAGCCTCTCTTGGTCTTGCACTTGAAGTTCTTCCAGATACTGTGGCATATGAACCCGTAGCAGATCATGAGGATGATGACAGGGATGAGGAAGATACCCACGGTGATCCAGGTGATGTAGGCGCGGATGCCCCACGGCTCGATGAAGTGTCCCCAGCAGTCATACACATCCGAGCCGTCCTGGATCTCGCTCAGAGAGAAGATGAAGTATTGAGGGGTGCTGAGCAACAGGCTGCAGAGCCAAGTGGACCCGATCATGATGTAGGCGCGCTTCGTGGGCTGCTGGAGGGTCTTCAGAGGGTGGCATATGGCGATGTAGCGGTCCAGTGTCATCATCACCATCATATAGGTGGACGCGAACATCCCTAGGACCTGGAGATGCTTGACAATCCGGCAAAGGAAGTCAGGTCCGTAAAACCTGAAGGTGATCTCCCAGCAGAGCTGTGGAAGAACCTGGAAGAAAGCCACCACCAGGTCCGCGAGGCTCAGGTGCTTGATGAACAGGTGCATGCGTGAGCTTTTCTTCTTGGTGTTGTGCATGGCCAGCAGCACGCACAGATTTCCGATCACCGCCACGAGGAAGTTGACGCTTAAAACCGTGATCTCCATTTTGGCCACGTCTTCGTTCCTGCCGAACGGGTCGGTGTCGTTGTTCGCCGTGGTTTGGTTAGACG